CACTTCCTGCTAAAGAGCCAGGCTGATTTTTCTTCAACTCTGATGGTTGAAGAAAAATCCACATATAAGCGGCTTATAGTCCGGAAAATACGTATATGAAAAAAAGTCTGAATGCTCTCTGGTATTGTTCAGGGGGCCGGACCAAATGTGGAGGCGGGCCGGATCTGGACCCCGGGCCGTAGTTTGGGGACCACTGTCTTACTGTTTTCTGAAGACTTCATATTACACCTCATTTCCATTGATTGTGGTTCTGATCCAAAAGTATCACAAGAAATTATTACTGACTATCAAGTCGAAATACTAAACCAACTTTTACCTGGTAAAAATTATTTTACAAATTTCAAATGTGATGACATTTGATAATGTGGAGTTTTCAAAAATATATATTTCTGCCCACCTGGCATTTTCTGTCCGTGGTACAGAACAATTTTTTTGCTCCTGAAATAGTATGAATAAAAAAAGCCAAGGTGATAAAACAATCTGCGCCTTCTTTCTTTTCCAGGAAACAAGAGCCAGTTGATGGAGGCGGCTCTGGGATTTGCCCTGGGAGCCGTGGGAGGATGCATACTGGGCGCTACGGAGGACCCGGTGGATAGGATATTGTCTGCGATGACTGCAAGTGGTCCACTGAAACCAGTGATGGAGGAGGTCAAGGTGATGGGTCCCCTGGGACTGGGCACGCTTGTGGGAGCAACAGCACTGACAACAGCGATGACATCCGTCATAGCAGGAGTTGTTTTGGCGGCGGCGGTAGCCTCGGTGTTTGTAACACTGAGGAGCTGCAGCAGTTCCAATGCAGATTCTGCTGGCTTGTGGGCATCAGCGGGGTGTGCTGGCATTCTAGGGACCACACTCAGCGGAGCAACATTTGGGAAGGCAATCGAATGGATTGTGAAGACCTACGGCATGGTGGGACTTCTGTGGGCTTTAGGCCTGTTCACCGTTCTTAAACCGCCTCTTAGTGTTTTATTCCAGCTGGCATGGACCCAGGGAGAGACCTGTTGCACTCTAGGGGTTGATGTCATGTCCAGAGAGAGGGAAGACATTGAGATTATTGAGTGGCAGCAGAGACAAAGGGTGGCTCTGCAAATAGAGGAGAGGATATTGTCCATAGAGAAGGGAGGTAACCAGGTGGGTGACAAGGCGAGATGGATCACTGAAAAAAGAGAAAGGGAGGCGATAGACAAGAGGAAAATCGAGAATAAAGAGGCTGAAATGGAGCAAAGAACCATCCACGACTGGATCAACACCATTTTGGTCAAACAAGTCGATTTCTTGGCTTTCACGGGAATACCAATGGCGGTGGTTTCCTTTGTCACCTCAGTTTTGGGATTGTTTGGCTATGGGAGCCATCAGGTTGTGCTTATAGTGCTTCTGGCTTTAGTTGTCCTCATTGCCTTTGTTCTTATGCAGTCCTCTGACTTTAAGTTCTGGATGTTGGTGGGGTGCATGGGAATGTTTGCAACCTTCATCATTGCCATGCTCACGCTGCATGCCAAGCAGGAGGCCGTTGTAACTGCTACAAAGATGAGCCAGGCGGGGTACAATCAGTCCGCAGAATCTATCAGCACTCGGATGAACCTTCAGTCTTCCCTGGAGGCTGTGAGCACATCCTTTTTTGGGGCAAAAATGTGTCAGCTGGGCCTGGGGGCCACAGTGGGAGGGGCATTAGTTCGCAGAGCAGCTGGCGAGGTGAAAGTTATTGTAGGGGCCGCTTCGGTTGCAGGAGTCCTACTCGCAGGGATGGACGCTTTAGCTCCAGTTCTGAGTGACGGAGAGATGGCGGGTGCCCTGCTGGGAGTGGTTGGAGCAGCAGGGGTGTCAGTTGGCGCAACATCAGTGGCAGCTACAAGATGGTCCTCATGGCTGGGAACTGTGGGGACAGTGGCAGGGCTGATTCTAGGAGCATTAGGGATGGGAAAGTTGCATTTTGTCAATATTGGGCTTCAGCTTCCTGTGGCCTTTGTGTTTGCAATGTCCAATCCTTTTTAACTAGTACTGTATTATACTACAAACTGTAACTGATTTCTAAATTATTTGAATTTACCATGTTTTAATAAAGTATATTGAGATCATGTTGGTTTGCTAGAATTTATTGCTAAGTCTAAGTGTGATCTTGTTCACTTGACTTTGTGTGCCAGATCACAGAAGTGAAACCCTCCTGCTGACTGACAACACTCTATAATAAACATAACCTGGAGAAAGTGTTTCTGTCTGTTTTCGAACCAGAGACCTTTTGCGTGTAAAGCAAAAATGCGAAATCTGACTCACCTAAAAACCAAGGTCTTGACCCGTTTTAAGTGAACTCTAGTGCGGTTCTACTGCTAACATGAGAAATGGTTCATGTTGAGCCCATTGTTGAAGAGTGTTTGTTTGGCACATCTGCCAAAGACAAAAGAGAAATTCTACAATCGCTGAATCTGACACTACGCCATTTTTGTTTGCATTTCATAAAAAAGGAAGTTGTGCTCAGAGTCTTGCTCAGAGGTTTAATGTCTTTTCCTTCAGTGGTTCTTAGTGCAGCACGAGGAGGTAAATATACTGCTCAAAAAAATAAAGGGAACATTTCACTTTAATTTTGTGTGTGGCTCCAAATCCAGGCCTCCATTGGTTAATAAATTTTATTTCCATTGATGATTTTTGTGGGATTTTGTTGTCAGCACATTCAACTTTGTACAGAACAAAGTATTCAATGAGAATATTTCATTCATTCAGATCTAGGATGTGTTATTTGAGTGTTCCCTTTATTTTTTTGAGCAGTGTAGTTTCCTCAAAGACTTTGGTTTGTCTGACACAGTGACACCAGCTGAAAATGTAACAAATGTTGCAATTTTGGTCCTCAATCGAACTGAGTCTACCAGACAATCAGATGTGAAAACACCCTTAAACAATTTCCTTATTACAAAAACCCAAGTGTCTTCATGTCCCATTTGATCGAGCCAGTACTAGTGAACAAGACAACAACATACATTTCATTAGCTTAGTTTTAAAGTCTACAAAGCTACATTCAGAAAATAATTAGCAAATGTGTGATGTTGGGGATTTTTTTAACACCATCCCCTTATGCAATATCAAGTAAATGTCTTTGACTTGTAACCAATGACTCAACACTGAGGAACATCTCTAGGATGCCATCTTTATTCTCCAACCACCCAGATAGGGTGTCACCCAAGCCTTTTTTTTCTGTACATAAACATGCTCACAGAAAGACATATGGCTAAACAGATCACAGGTAACATATTTGAAATATCTAAACAACATTTACATATTACTTTCCAACAATATTCAGAGCCGTTTTATTTCATAACTGGTAACTAATGTAAATTAAACAATGTGTACATAAAACTTCAGCTAACTAGGACCACAATTGCTCTCTTACCTCCCGGTGCCCGTTAGTTCAGTAAACAAAACACTAAAATGCTCACTAAAAACAAGACTAAATAAGTTCTTCAAAAGGTTACGTTGTGAGAGTAAGACCACTGTAGACTCTACTAACCTGTAAACAGGAAAAACCATCTTGGAGTAACGAGGCAGAAACAAATCCGTACTTAACAAATCCTCCATTACGAGAGCACACTGCCTCCTACTGGTAGCTTTCTGCTACTGCAATCAAGTTAATTACAATAGATGCCAAATCTCGAAATTAGAAATATACATAAAAAAACATATCAAGTAATTCAATATCAAAACACAAAAAGAAAACAATAATAATAACAATAATTAATAACAATGATAAAACAGAAACCATTGCTTTTTGTGTATGCCACATCTGCACGTTTGTTAACAATAGTTGCCCCACTGTTACCAACTCAGTGACTTTCTTGTCATATTTCAGACAAAATAAATTGGTATCGGCATGTCAGGCTTTTCAAAGATTGGTAATTGGCAATCGGCCAGAAAACTGCAATGGTGCAGCCCAACTTAAGATGGAATACATAGATATTCATGACATAGTTTGATTAAATTAAATTAAATCTTAGGTGTAATATATTAAAAGTCGTTAAAAATGTAATTTGTAATTGGAGTCTCTCTCATCTGAGAGTTTGGACTGGTACCGGGCTGAGTCTGAACCTTCAAATAATTTTAATTGGAGAAGTTACACTTAACTTAGAAGCTGAAGGAAAAATAATGTTTGTATTAGATACATGAATTATCATGCTCGGCAGCAAACAACATATCTCCAACTACAGCTCAGAGCAGCTCATTGACATATTAATGCAGTAGCCATGTAGCCTGATGGAGAAACATTTTGCTAAGCAACGTCAAACATTGAGAAGTTAATTATTGTTATCAAACGTTATCAAACACGTTGTTTTGAAGTCAAACAACCCTTAGAAACATTTCGGGCCAACCAGGAGAATCAACTCGTTTAAAGTTAAATCTCAGTTTCACACAAATACAAACTCTGTAGCATTTTGGCTGTTGAACAGGTTGCTATCAAGCTAATTTTCTATTAGCAGCTCCACAAATCTTTCTGATAAACATTACATTACCAAGACACGTTAAAACATACCTTTATCTTTGCTTTTTCTCTATTCTTCCTCTTTCTTTTTTCTCGCCCTGAAGGATAAATCATTTTTTGCTAACTCATCTTCCACCGGTGATTTGGAGGTTTGGACGCGATCTGCACAGCAGCTCAGATTATCGTACAGTGCGGTACGTACCGCGGCCACCAGGGGGCCCCCAAAAGTAATTAATTTTTTAATTTCTCTTCTTGCCTATCTTAAGAAGTATTTCTACAATACATTATCAAATACATATTATTGTAAAAATAATCATAATTCATAATTAATGTCTGTTTCTGTAATTTAATCACATAGAAATTATTACTAAAATAAAAAAAATATATGTTCCACTTAGGGGGCCCCCTAGTGACCCCGGGGCCCTAAGCGGCTGTTTAGTTTGCTTATGCGTTGGGCACGCAGTGATCCATTTTCAGTTGGTCTCTCTCCTCCTCTAGCGTCTTTTTTTCCTTTATGTTATGTTTCCTTTATGTTATGTTATGTTCACTGTTTCTCTTTTCAAGTGTGCGTTTGTCTCTCCTCAAGGCACAGATGTTTTCCAAGAACTTTCTGCACTGATCAGGCTTCAGTCGCCCACACTCTTCCTCCATCTTGTGGTTTTCATCACCAAACTCGGATATGTTGCAAGCTGAGGCGGGTGCGAACTTGTTTGAGTATACTGAGAAAAAAAAGAGAAAATAACTAACTGTTATGGCTGTCTTTTGTTGTTGGTGGTTTTTTACCTACACTCTACGAAACAAAGAAGTGACACTCACATGTAAGACGAAGCGACAAATTGAGAACGGCTTGTATGATACATAGTGCGCCAATGATGAGGAAAAGCAGATGATAGCGTCTTCTGTCTGCAAGTTAAATGAATGTATATTTAAATTGATAAGCCAAAATGAAGATGTTTGTAATGTTTTGTGTTACCTGATAAATTTGCTTCCCCGTATGGCTGCTCATTAACGTAGTCTCTCATCTTCGGTCTGTGCATTGTCCCGATTTCATCAGCAGCTAGACACTGAGTGATGTCATCCTCCTGCTTTTGGTGCATTCTTAAAGAACGAGGAAAGACAAACTTAGAAGTGGTAAGAAAAGAGGAAGAGACAAGCTTAAAAAAAACCCCACATATTTTATCATGTGCATCAGACAGACAAACAGATAGATGCATTTATTGGCTGAACAAAATTGTAATTTTCCAGAGCGATGATTCACTTTGTATCTGTGTGTCATACAAATTCAATGGCCTCCTTTGAATGTGCGGATGTAACATAACAAAATGTAACTCATAGGGAGCACATTTCCCCAGGAACGATATGCATACACACAGACATATATCATAAAGGGATGACATGCATTCATGAAACATTGTTTATTACCTGTGCAGTTGAAATAAATAAGTTCAACACCTTAGTCTATTCAGTTGTAACAGAAATAGTGAATCAGCCAGTCGAGAACATTTAGGGATCTGAATACGATAAAGACGACTGAAGATCAAACCAATCATCAGACTGGAGAAGCAAAGAGGATTTATGCGACTCTGAACATGAAATGTTTTTTTTGGTCGCAGAGTGGCAGGCCTGTGTCTTTTGGTAACTCTTCATATTTTTACGTCATTTCCTGTGGTTGGCAGAGAACTGAAATGCCTTCAGAGGAGAGGAGAGTGGGCAGGCCAAATAAAATGACCAAATATAGGCATAACAATGCTCTAAACGTAGAGCATTTCCAACCCTGAAGCGGATAAGCTACAGCAGAGAGAGACCGCACCAGCTGATAGTTCCTCCAGCAAAAGACATGAAACTGATGCTATGATCTACCCAGGCCCAACAAAACTGGACCATACCTCTTTTGAAAAATGTTTCTTGATCATGTATGTGGTGGTCTCAGGGTTATGGCATTTGGAAAAGTGTTGGACAAAGTGTCTAAGCTAAAGGTCTACGCCAAACAATGGCCTCCATAGATTCTGACCAGTGGGATGTGACTAGACGGCAGACTGACAGTGTAAAGACAATTCAAAATGTCAATATGGAACAAACTGTCTGAGGAATGTGAATGAAGAAGTTCATATAATCTTACCAGAGTGCATCTGACTGGAACTGAATTGCAAATGTAAAAAGAGAAGAAGAAAAGAATAACAGGCTTTAAACGGGAAATGTCTATCTATTTCTTTGCGTACCCCAGACAAGCATCAATTCTCCTACTTTTAGCACAATAATTCTCTGCTTTCTCCTCCTTCCCTTTCACTAATATCTTCCTTGTTTGATCAAGTCGGGTAACTTGAAAAAAAAGAAAACAGAAGCAGAAATTGTGGTTCAAAATGTGAAAGATTCATCAGAGAGAAAAACAAATGTGAGGAACTAGCTGAACAAATTAAGAAAGAATGTTTTCAAAATCCTTGAAAGTTACTTCTCTAAGTGGTATATCATATTTGATTTGTAAAAGAAGTGCCACACAGGAAATTAGCAAATCACAAAGCGGTGGTGTTGCCATGGTTGAGATTTAATGACGATTTTAAGGCGTCTTTAAGGTAAACCTTTGCCTTTAGTGGCCGTTGGCAGTTTCACCTGCAATTCTAAAATAACTCTATCCAATTCTCAAAAACTGCAACATAACGAGGTTATCGTTCTCCTATTGTCATAGTTCAATATATTTATGTACATATATTGTACAATTAATGTTGCAAAGTTTCAGTTCAGACCTGATCCAAAGAGTTTAAACAGGAATCCCAGCAGACGTTAAACAATACACACCTTTTAAAATGCATATAAATAATCTTCAAGTGTGCAGTTTGTAGCCAACACAATCAGAACCAAAGGAAGAAAACTGATTTTAAATCATTTTTAAGAATGACTGTGTTACAGACTTATGAAACCTGTTCCCTTTAATCGTTACGATTCAGAGCAAAGGTTTTATTGAAATATCGTTTCCTTCTTCACTTTTTCTTACTGGGGAAACAAATGCTTTTTAGGATGTCTGAAAGGAGAACAAAAAGAAGGTGTTGCCACATTGAGAAACGAACAAAAGCAGAACCGCGTTGACGTTCAGCGTCATGCCAAACATAGATTTCTTGCCCATCGTCAGTGTTGCTCTCACAGGGTAAGATGGCGCGAGCTGCTAATCGACAGGCAGCTGAGATCGATTATGTGAATCAACCCGATCCCTCCACTAACGGGCGTCCCAAGTTAGAGACTGGGGAAAATCACGCTGAATCGGGTAAGACCCAGATGGCCTTGAAACATCATTGCTTTAAAGAATGTTTCTTCTGTATTTGACAAATTTTGATAAACTGATTGAAACTCGCTGCTGTTTCTTTTTTCCTACTTTTATGGAGTTTTAAGGAGAATATCTCCACTAATCAGTTTCCACGAAAGAGAAAAATGATATTTTAACCCTTGTAGAAATGGGGTCCAACCGACCCCACACACGTAAAACTTGTATCATTTTCCACAGTCCTCTACATTTGCCTCAGTTCTCGCACGCACAAGAGTTAAGCAGCCACACAAGAGTTTAACTGTCAATGTGTCTTCTTTTTTTCTCCCTTATGCAGGGACAAAGCTGCTCAGAATGGTCGCTGTTGGCTTTGGGCTTCTTTGCATCCTACAAGTTGCTCTCAATGTTTCCCTTCGTCTGACTCTCCGTGAGTTTTTTGTTTTTTTAACCTTTGTTGTGAGACCAAATACTTTTTTCTGAAAATCAATGTGAGACCAGGAGTTGGATCTGGAAACTTTCAGGAATGCAACTTTGAAATTCTTTTTTTCTTTTTTTTTTTAAGTATGTAAATTGCACAATGAAAGACAGCAATTAATAGTTTCAGGCTTTAGCAAAACCTTGTAGTTCTTTTTATTGCATTCTTTTTACAAACTGCATTTACAGAATGGAAAACTGTAACAATAAACAAAACTATAAACAATCCTGAAAAATTTGCTGTTAATTTTGCTCCATTTGATAGAGAAATTTGGGGGCCAAAGTCATTTTCAAACTTTTGCAATTTTTTGGGTTGTTTTGGAGTTTGATTCTAGTCAAACTCCAAAGAAAAGTGAATAACAACATAATTTGTTATTCTGTGTTCCTTATCTCTTTCTTCAACTTGACTAGCTTTGTTTCTGTTTAACTTTAATTCAATCCTTCAGTTTACCTTAGTTTTAGTTATTTGTTTTTGGTTTCATTCATTTTCCTAGTTACCCAGTTTGTGTATCTCGCTCCCTGTGCCATTTTTTCTCTCTCTCTCCCCTCACACCTACAATCCATTTCTAATCAGCCACATAGTCAAGCTCCCAGTATGTGTACAACTCTTTCTCAGTCACTCCTTGCTGGTTCCTCCCATTAAAACCTGCTTCTTCCTTGTGCATCCTGCCTTCAACTTTTCCTGGATTTCTGTTTTGGTTCTCCTCTGGCTCTCTGTGCTCCAATGTTTTTGTTTTTTGTCAGTTTTGGTCTTATTTTTTCTACTACTTCTCGATGCCTCCATAATTTCTTTACGGATACTGTATCTTTAGACTTAACATCTCCATGAAGCCACAATGAGAGACTTTCTTTCAAATCATAGCCAGCTTGTCCTACTCTTTCAGACAAACCTCAGCCCACACCAGATGTGGTGTTTTGCAGTAATGAGACTCAGGACATGTGCAAGCTGAAGCAAGAGACCAGTAAGTGCGAGGATTATGAAATGTCACATAAGAAATTATGTGACAATTCATATGTGGAAAGCTTTAGATCAGTGGTGTCCAAACCTTTTGCTACATGGGCCAAAATCTCTAACTTAAAAATGCGTGTGGGCCAAAATTAAATTACATTTATTTTATTTATTTTTGCTTGCTCAGCAATCAACAATATGTAATATTTCAAACACAGTAGGCACAATTTTTAGCTGTTGTTGGAAATGTCAATTATTTTGTAAATCCAAAACTGAAAAAAGTTTTGCACATTTTAATTATTAAAAGCAATAATGCAAGTTCCACAAAAAAATCACAGCAACAAAAATGTGGTTTTAACAGACCAAGTGTGTGTTGTACCTAAAGATGATTGTAATGCTATTTAAAGTTGTTAGCAATAATATTGCCCATGTTAAATGTAAAAATAAATAAATAAATAAATAAATAAATAAAATAAAGTCTCCATTTGTATAAACCGATTTAAAAGGATAAATTTGTGCTTTTCTTGAATTGCAATTCAGGCTTAAAAAAAATCACTCCAGGGACCGCAAACGGCCCACGGACCTCATTTTGGACACCCGCGCTTCAGTCTTTTCCAGTATGAGTCAAACATTAAGCTTATAAGACGTTTCATCACCTCAACAGGGGAGTATCTCCAGAAAGGATGGCTATATTTCTGCGACAGTTTTTATTACATGTCGTCCATCAAGAAGACTTGGAACGAGAGCCGGAAGTACTGCCAGCAGGAGGGCGCCGACCTGGTGGTCATCAACAGCAGAGAGGAACAGGTAGGTTCCTGTTACCACGAAAGAAAATCGTTATTAGGCAAAATGCAAATTAGCAATAATCTTCAATTTGACTGATTTCTTGTATTCATTATTATTATTTTTATTTTCTGCGTAAGAACTTTACCACACAGTATAGCAGGGGCAGGCTCACCTGGATCGGACTGTACGAGTTAGGTGGGACAGAGCAGTGGATATGGGTGGATGGAGCTCTGCTGACGGACAGGTTTTTACTTTTTTTGTTGTTTGTTTTAACATTTAAAAAAAAAAAAAAAACTACCTGGAAACATCCATTAATGGATGGTGCAGTTCTTCCCAAACTGCACCATCACGCAGCAGCTTAAACCACACGTGATCAAACTACTGGCGGTAAATCTGTTAACAGTGAACGTGGTGAAATCGGATCGCTTTTTAAACGATCCCCGGTGTCTTCTCTGTTCTCTTTGCCTGGAACATTTTCCTCGTTGTGTCTCTGATGTTGTCATGGTTTTTTGTCGTCTTCGTTTTAAGCTACTGGGGCCCCAACGAGCCAAACAGGTTGGAAAAAGTAAATCCAAGATGTGTGGAGATGAGGTTCTTCGACACCGAAAACAGCTGGAATGATATATCCTGTACCACTGAAAACTTTTGGATTTGTGAAAAAGAAACAGCTCTGTAAACAAACAAACAATCCAAAATTTGGAAAATGAATCAGAAATGTATAAAAGGCTGATTTTCTGTTGCTAGTATAAGCATTGTGTATTTGGATTTTTAAATGTGTTTTTAAGATGAAAGCCATCGCTTTGATAATTTCTGTTCATTTCTGTCAATCAATCCATCAGTCGTATTTATTTGTATAGCACATTTCAGCAGGATCTGTTTCCTTTTTTCAACTTTTGGTCTCTTGGTGACATAATTCTGAGGCGGACGTTTTCCTGCAGCAGTGCAAAACTGGCATTCTTCTTAGTTGCGTTTTTTTTCTTCTTCTTCTTTGATTACTTATTAAAAATTTGAAGGCAGATTGTCTGTTTATTCAGTAATACCACACTTCACCCAGGAAGGTAATCATAAATTAATAACTGAGATGAAACTACTTATTTTCTGATAATCAGGCAGAGCCCTGACTTGTTCATTTTGAGCCAAATTACTAATTTTGTTCATTTCATTTATCATCTGTTGCTAACTATTTGTGGTTATTCAAAGCAAACAAAAAAAAAGCATTTTTCATTGTGAGAAGCTGTTGATCCCCTTTTTCACCGACCAAATGTTGATTTTTAGAATGCATAAAACTGAAATTACCATGCAGAAAACATCCAGCTGTAGGAAAGTGGCTAAGTCAACTTCAGTACTTATTATTTATCTTTGAGGCTTCAACAACTGTAGTTTATAATATTAAAAACAACAACAACAACAAAAACCTGCCATTTTCAAACTCTCCGAGACCGGAGAGTTTTTTGAAATGCTTTCAAAAAATCTCACATATTTTTAAAAGCATTTTACCTTTTTAAAAATCAAGTGTGTACAATGAAACACACACAGTGAGGCAGCAGAACGGAGGATTCTCACATCTGCAGCCACTGTGTGACGATGCCAATGGTAACCAAACATCTATGGCGAATGTTTTTGACAACCTTGTTGAATCTGTGGCTCAAAGAATTAAAGCATTTTTACCCATAATTTCACATTCATGAATATTTCACCTGTACTTGTTTTTTGCAAATTGCATCCTTCAGTTTCACAAACATGTTGCATGTTTTCGTCAAGCAGGAAGCAAAAAACAAATCTATAAGCTGTTTTAGGAAATAAAAAAATAATCTGAGGAGTTTTTTTTTTGTTTTTGTTCTTTTTGAAAACTCCCTTCTTGAAGAGATTGCTTCATGAAAGTTTTGTTTTGAATTATGGAAGATGAGAGTGATGAAGGAAGTGAGGAAATCCTGAGGCTGTGATGTTGCTGTTCTTCTCTTTTCTTTCTACTATTATAATGTTGCAGTTTATCTTATTCCATGATTTTTTTTCTTTGCTTTTTTTATGAAGAATAACAGCTTCAAACTCAACGTTGTCCCTATGGTCTCACTGATTTAGTTGTTTTGTCGATTAGATTAGAGAATAAACCAACCGTTCTTTGTCAGATGTGACTGTAATGTTCTGCTGTAGGTGGCTGACATGAACACCGCAAAAACAAAGACGATCATCATGGCACATGTATTTCTGTATGGCAAATCAGTGGCTTATATGAAGTAATGTTTTTTGATGGGGTTTTCTGACCTGTTACTCATGAGGGGAGAAATGAGTTAAGGTGCCCGAAAGAGGAAGAAAAAGCAAGTCCTGCTTTGTTGCAAAACGAACAAAAGAAGAAGTGCGTTGCTTTCTAGTGTCATGCAAGAAAAGCAGTTTGCTGCCCGTCGTCACACGGCGGTGCTCTGAAGGCAAGATGGCAGGAGCTGTCCGCAGAGAGCCAGCAGAGTTCAGCATGGACTACGTGAATCTGCCTGAGCCTTCGGTTACAACGGCTGCTGGAGGAGGAGACAAGGGGAACCATCCTGCACCAGGTAAGAAAAAAAAAAATTACGTAGTTATTTTTTACTTTTCAGATTTTATTTTAAATACGCTTTTTTTTTTTCATTGTTTATCAATTACGGTGATATTAAGAATAGCCCCCACGCACAATTTATCTTAGGAATCTTTCCTCACTGGTCTTATTAAATGACTGGATGAAACTTTTGTTTGCTTTTGACTTTCATTGGTGTGTCAGGCTTAGCGTAGCAACACACACACACACACACACACACACACACACACACAAACATTTGTCATAAGATGCAACAGAACAATGTTGTTGTCTCCCTATTTCTACATCCAGGGACAAAGTTACTCAGGCTGGTTGGAGTTAGCTTTGGACTCCTTTGCATCCTACAAGTTGCTGTCAACGTCTGTCTCCGCCTGACACTGTGTGAGTTTTACACCTTTTTTTTTTTCAGTGTGACAGCAAAGCTTTGTGCTTTGTAAGCAGCAAGTTGCATCTGCATTAAGAAAACAAAAACTAGAGAAGTGTAAAAACATGTTTCCAAAATCACATCAATTGCTGATTAAAGACTAATAAAAATAAAAAATAAAAAGGCAGTGCTTCATTACAGATTTGTTTTTTCAGGTCCCATTTGGCAGAGAGACTATAAACCAAATGTAGTAATATTCTCAGATTGTAATGTGAGGAGCAGCTGCTGTAAATTATGCTCAGGTTGAGAGAGGAATCATGGACATTTTGTCCATTTGCTGTTTCATGCTTTCTCATTTTTGGCCATTTCCTGCCTCTTTTCTGTTGCAACTAAACAGCCGTCTGGCGGTGGATGTTTTGTACTGAGTCGGTGTGCAATCGTCTCCGTGACGATTTGTTCCCAACTTTAACAACTAAAGATTTAAATAACTTTCTAATATCCTCTCATGGTTCCCTGTACAGAAATGTTGTTACGGATTAATTTGTCTTTTAAGGTAGATTTTGTTTAATCAGAGGTCATAACGGGTCATATTTTGTGGGAACAAATAGACCTAAGGGGTGAATGGAGCAAAAATACATGTAATTTGGGTGTAATACAAAGTCTCCAGAAATTAATAAACTAAAATATTTTATATGATGTTTAAGGACTTTCAGGAAATATTTATCTATGCATTTCAGATATTAAAAAAATGCACATAAAAAACAAGAGAAAATAAACTGATATCATATGCAACAATTAACTACACTGATACTGTAGATCCTTAATGAGTGAAGCTTGCATTGTAATTGTAATTCTTCACATTACCTACGACATAATTCTCATCCAGAATCTTTAATGATCCTCAGAAATGGTGCGCGTTTACTAAATAACTGAAACATGTTGAGCAAAAAAAACAAAAGAAAAAGGAAATGAAAAGAAAATTGACGTAACCACAAGTTAGTAATGAGACAGAGAAAGAGGTCAAAAGACTGTCATCATCATCATCTGACAAAACTAAACACCTCAAGGAGTATTTGAATCAACTGTTCATCTTTTTTCAATTTCAAAACAATAAAAATCAGCACAAAAAAAAAATAAAAAATAAGGTAAATCAGCAAACAGTACCAGTTATGCATACGGTCTTTATAACATTTAGCTCAGGCTCCTCCAGGTACAAAAATGCTTGTTTTGTGGTTCAGAACGGAAGAAAGTTATGATAGTAACAGTTTCTCAGCGAAGGTTTGCTGTCGCCATGGAGTCGAGGAATTCGCACTGTTACTATAGCAACCACCACTTGGCATCCGTTATGTCATAGATAATCTTTGGAGCTAAGCCATGATTCGTGGCTTTTAAAGCCATCAAACTTTGCAGAAGTACATTTCACAATTTTCCTCCTGTGAAGTCATCTGTGTCATCCCACAAGGATTTGAATTCATTTGAAATCACTTTTTTAAAATTATTTATTTTTGTTAAAGAATGTAAAATGCAGGTGTTATTGTAACTGAAAAAAATCCTGAAATGTGTCTTTTAAAGCCTTAGAGCGTCAAACTGATGCAGACTTTGGTGTTAAACATGGATCAGCATCGTTCACGTCGTCGTGCCTGGCGAAGGGAGCATTAACACATTTCCATCCGTTTCAGAATAAGAATCATGAACTGTTGTGAAATTTGTGAAAAGTCAGAGGAACTGCGTAGACTGAGAGAGTGGAACAAAAGGATGGGGGCTTTCCACTTGGCTGATGCTTCACTGTTTTGTCCTTATAATGAACTACAGACTCCCACATAACATGAGCTCACTTGTCTTTTTCTAATCACATGACAGCACGACGAAGGCCTTGTTTTCACAATGATGATTCATTTTCTTCTCTTTCAGTCAAATCCAACGGCCAGATATCACCAACAGGACACGCTTGCATAAATGAAACTGACAAGCAGAGTCAGCTGATCGGTAAGTGTGGTGGTGATGATGATGATGATGATGTTGATGTTGATGATGTTGATGATGAAACTCATTACGGGGAAAACATATACAGATTTCAACCATGGTAGCTCAAACAGCATGGGAAATAAATATTGAGGATAAATCTTCATAGTATTTTCTATTTATATCTCATAATCATGAGTACAATTAATTTAAATTGTGCTAAATAATCTTTTATCAATACAATGCAGATAAAAAAAACACATTAAGCCTCTGAAAGAACTTCATAATTACTCAGAACTTTGACTCAATGAAACTCTAAGACAGAACTTAGAGTTCTGTCTTAGAGTTCTGTCTAAGATAGAACTTAGACTGTGACAGATGAAATGTTTAAATGACTGGGTATGCATAAGACTGACATGACACTGTCATAAACGTGATACAACACCTGTTAGGAACGTGAAGGTGTCTTCATGAATGTTTATGACTGTTGTCAGGAAGTGTGACTCGGTAAATAATGACACTTTTAATGCAAAATTGACCATTTTAATGAACTTTTAATACAAGTTTGAGTGCAACTTTGCATTAAAAGTGTCATTAAATGACACTTCACGACAACAGTCATGAATGTTCATAAAGACTCCTTCATCTTCGTTAAGTGTCATGTCAGTCTTATTCACACCCCGTCAAGTAAAGTGTTGCCATTTGTTACACCGCATTCGCTCCTTTTTTTGATTAAAACCTCTAAACTCTTTCTAAAACAAATTCTGATGCAAACAAATTGTAAGTGGAAAGAGTCTGAAGAGTTTTTCTCCCCTCTACAGAGCGGTACATCCAGCGGGGATGGGTGCGTTTCCATTCCAGTCTGTATTACATTTCTTTCGCCAGGAACACGTGGGAGCAGAGCAGACAGTTCTGTCTGCAGCGAGGCGCTGATCTGGTGATTATAAACACCAAAGCAGAACAGGTAAATGTGTCTTCATTCGAAATAAAATAATTAGGTAATTATTTAAGTAAAGATGTTCATTTCTGATGGTTGCATTTTCTGTGTAAGGACTTCACAAGACAGTTCAACAGATTCACGTGGCTCGGACTTCATAATGACACCAAGACGGGGAAGTGGACATGGGTGGATGGGACTCTGCTGACCGATAGGTGTTTTTTTTGTTTCTACAATTTTTCTGTTTGGTGAAGCATAAAAAATTGTAGAAATTGACAATTAAAACTCAATAATTAATATGAATAAAAATAGGATGCGCACTAACATGTCAGTTTGTACTTTTTACTAAAACGTATTTTCTTGCCTGTTTTGTCTTCCTTTAGTTTCAAATTCTGGGGGCCTGGAGAACCAAACAGTTACGAAGGCAAAAACGAAAACTGTGCGGAGATACGGTTCTTTGAGCTGGAAGACAGCTGGAACAACATACCGTGTGAAGACCAAAACTTCTGGATCTGTGAGAAAGAGGTGGCTCCATAAATTAAACCAAATCGAGTCGAGGGAAGTTCAAACGGACCTGAAGTTGTAACTTTGTAGCCAGGAAATGGAAAGCCGGAGTCACGGTTTTAATCATTTGGGAAAAAGAGCCTGTTGGGTTTGGGATTGAAAGCAGGATGTCGTTTGATTTATGCAAAACATTGTTTTGAAAGTGAAGGCGATCGCGTGATAGCAGTGATTTTATTTCTGTTAAATGCTGTGAATATTGATGAAGTAAGCAACCATGATGGATAAGACGACTGTAACATCAAGTGAAGCTTTCGCTTTTAGTGAAATCCTGCTAGTTTGTTCACCAACAGGTTATTGTTGAACAAACCAACAATAACTTGCTATCGGAAAATATAAACAGCTTTTATTTCGAAAGCTGCGTCATGGTTACTCCATCTCAACCTTACATATCCCACTGAAAAGATTCACAAATCAACACTATATGTCTACTTTTTCCTCTCACATCTGTTGTTCAGCAGCGAAATATGACAGTTACTATAATTACTAATTATTCTATTATTCTAATTACATTTTTTTATATTAACGCAATATTTGTGCTTTAGGGGTTGCCACTGCATTATATATATATATATATATATATATATATATATATTAAAACCTCTAAACTCTTTCTAAACATTCATTATCTTTTGTTATTCTTGCAACAAAAGAATGAAAGCCAATCTAAATTCTACAGTTAATTAACACATCACTATAAAGTAAACATGGTTTTGGGCTTCATTCTTTTATTCTTAGAAAGAAAAAGTGTTGTCACAGCCAACAAAAACATGATTTGTTTGTATGTTAAGACAAACACACAGAAACTCTCTGTAGAAAATCAGATTTGAAGCTCCAGACACTGGATTTCTATGCACATCTTTTTTTAAGGGCTCTTTCAGCTCTGACGGTAATTTCCGTCCGAGTTGTTTAGTTTCATAGTTTTGATTATTTGTTCTGTTTGTCTTAGCCAGTCATTTTTGATCAAATCAGCCTTGTTTCGGTTTTGCTTTAGTTCAGTCTAGTTATTTTAGTTAGATTATGTCTATTATTTATTCTTTGATCTGTATTTCACTTCTGTTTTCTGTTTACCTATAATTTTTACTCTTCTTTGCTCCCTTGTACCATCTCTCGCCTCCCAAGGTGGCAGTTGCCCGGGGTGACCATAGAGGAAGAGGAGCGTAACCACCAGATGAAAAACTGTAGCTCATCTGTCAGCTACTTAAATTTACTTCTGTTTTTATGCATGTGACTTTAATGAGGAGTTAGCGCCCCCTGCTTGCTGCTTAGCATAAGGAGACTACTTGGTGTGGAAATACACTGGCCTACACAGAAACCAGCAAGAATAGTAGACAGTGTGAGGTTACTGGTTAACCAGTTTTGCGCTGTTTTAGGCTGCAGCAGGAAGCCGAAGTATTCTGTGAAAGCAAACAAACGTACAGGAAGAATGTGTATGCTGCGAATAGAAATGTGACGATGTAGCTTCAACACTGCCAGCTAAACCTAAATGCTCTACTTATGGCATTAACTTCGCAAAATGTCACCAGTTCCCTCATCAATATGTGTATATAAAGCAATAAAGAACTACAAAAGCAATAAATGTTTGATACAAGAAACAAACTTTCCAGACTTCATCTATTTATTTTTTTTTTACAAATTTTATTTCTCTTTTTCCACGACGTACTATGTTTGCTGACAGAAGAACAATAAAATAAATGTTTGACTAAACAAGCAAAATTACCGTTCCAGTGTAAAGATATTGAAAAAGTTCACAAGACACGATCGTATATGAGATAAAAACAAGTCAATCATGGACTATTTTGAATATAAACAAGAATAAAATGTTCTGAAGACTATATTGTAGTTCTTAGCTTCGCCACTAGGTGGCGCGACCGTTTTGCTAGTCATATTTTGTTCAAAATGCTGTTAAAGAATCAGTGCAGATCAGCAGAAGTTGTGTTCGTAGGTAGTTTTGTGGTTTTATGAGAGTGTGCGTCCATAAGTCTGGTAAGTTATAGTCTATGTATGTTTAAGTAGGATAATATGTGTATTTATTACCCTGGACATTTTCTGTTTGCTCAATTTTTTTTAGAACAAGCGGTAGCTAAGCTACGTTTTACTCTAAAATTGTTAATCTTATGTTTACTTGCTCTCTTTTACTTTATTTTTACTTTATTAGCAGCTGAAAGATAAGACTGGAGTAATGATCGACAGATTTAAAGGAGAAATGTCTCATCAAACCCCAAGATACCGCAACGGAATGATGGGACCCCAGCTGAGAAGGGGAACCCAACAAATTCCCCAAGGTAGGTTCCCTGATGTCTTACACCGGGAAATCCAAAGACTGGACTCTCTTCTAGAAATGGAGAGAGCCAGAAGGTTTGAAGACGACGAGAGACTGGCCCACCTGGAAGCAGAGCTGAAAGAGACGAAATTCCAGTTGAGAAGGCAGATATCTCTGAAAGAGATGTTCATCAACCAGGGCAAAGAGACAAAGAGGGAACTTGAGAGAGTTAAGAAGTTCAGCGAGCAAAGCAGGACCTCCAGCAAATTGATAAACTGAGAGCTGAGAAGGATCGTCTCATTTAAGAAATGTCAAAAGAGTTCCAGACGCTGCAGGAGAAAGTCAGTGGGTTGGCAAGACATTTAAAATGTAGCCAATCTCTGCAGCAAAATGTGTAACAAATTCAGCTGCAGATCACTCTGGAGAAAAACGCTCGTCTGGAGAAGTCAAAAGAGGACATGGTGCTTCTCAACGCCTCGAGAGCTATGAATGCTGCGATCCAAGAAAACATGAGTAAAGAAATCAAACTCCTGGCAAAAGAACGAAAAGGGTCCACAAGTCGAGCTGGAGAGGATTAGAGGTTTATTTAAAGAGTTAAGCTGCAGGTATGAAACCGATGTTGCTGCAGCGAACGAGCAGAAAAATACCAGCAGTGGATGAGTTGTGAGAAAAATGTTCATTTGGAAAGAGCAAATGAGGATCTGCAGCTTGCCAACCCTCTGAGAAGCAAAGAACATCGCAGGAGATCTCAGTGTTGCAAGAGACGGAGGAAGATCCAGAGAGCCAGCTTGACCAGGTTCAAGTGTTACGCCAAGAGGTTTTTTCTGAGTGGGATCACTCAGAAGAAAGCTCGTTGGGTTGTTCCACGGATTTGAAATCCACGGAAGAGATGGAGCTTGAAGGAGAAACCATCCCAGAGAGATCGGACAATCCAGACGCTGAATCCATGCAGGACGGAAAGAAGAAAAAATAGAAGCTTTCATTTTGGAAAAAGCTACGAAGGGCTTTGCGTTTGAAGAAACCAAAAGAAGAAGCAAAAAAGATTTTGCTAATATTTTTTTCCATGATGCAACTACAAAACTTCAAATTATGTTATTCCAAAGTGATTCAAAGCAGCATTATTTTAAAATGTTTTATATAAACAGAATTAAAAAACTTGGGTTCAAGTTCACAACTGAAAAAGAAGCAGGAATGATTAAATTAGAGTTTCGGTAAATGAAGCTGACCTCGCTCAGTTGCCAATAAATCAAAACAAGAAGTCTGCTTTCTTCCAGTAAACCTACCAATTCTCCGTGACCTCTGATGCCTCATTGACATGAACTTTTCAAACGAGGCAAAATATTTGCTGAATTCTTCAAATATCCTTCTTCCATTTTTTTCTTTTTGCATAGCCAATAATTTGGAGAATGAGGAAGACGATTTCAATAAAAGGAGAAATAATTCAATATCATTTCATTTAAACACCGACCATTTGAAGAAGTAATTCCTGTAAGAAATAAATTGAGGCTGTTCAGTTTATCCAAGATGGCTCTGCATGAAGATCAACATGAAATGTCTGCTATATATGATAACATCAACAATCCTGTTTCCAGCAACGATATTCCAAAGAGCCTCTCAGGTGAAGACAGCAACGCCTCTTCTGCCACGTCCGGTAAGAGAAAAACCTGCTTCAGCAATAATTTTGATGCCAGTTTTGGAACATGGTACATTTACAGCTCAGAAATGCTCAAATAGTCTGTAGGAACATCTGAAAAATAAATTCATAACAAGGTTTAGCTAGACTGCTGCCTTTTCTGTCTGTTTTTAATATTCTTGAGCTGCTGTATAAATACATGTTTACTTGCTTCACAGCAGTGCATGAAGCTTAAAGTCAATCTTTCTCTTTTCTTGTATTGGCTGACGTCAATCAGCTTCTTGTGAAGCAAAATGGAGAGTCTATTTGGGCAGAAGAGGTAGAGAACCATTCAGGAACCTTTTAGTTGATTCAGAGAAAAGTGGGGCAGTGTTTGCTAAGCAGATTATATATGATATGTTTTTCCAATGAAAAAAAAAAGACTAAAACGGTTTGGTGATGTAATGCAAACTCTGGGTCACGTCAAACCAGCTGCTGAAAATCTTTGTATCAGATATTTTGTTTGAAATATGTTTTTAACCCGTATCTCATCTGATTATTATCTTCTACTTCAGTGAAGCAACAACGACATAAATCAATAAAAGACTTGAACAATGATTAATGTAGCAAAATTTAAACTTGCCTGTTTTGTATCTCAGTAACTATAATTTTAAATAATCAGCAGGTTCTCATTTATGAGTAGATTGTACATTTTATCTTTCATATTTCCTTAGAAGAACATCTTTTGCTTTGTTGTATTTATGTATTTTCTAAGAGTTTTTTATATATATATTTGAGGTTTATGTCTCTGAGGTGATTTATTTCACTCCACATGTTTTTACACAGGAGTTCAACTGTACAAAATTGGCACAGTTGCCTTTGGACTTCTAGCTCTTCTTCTGCTCGGTCTTGTCATTTTCCTTGCTTGCTGTAAGTAACCTTGACAAGTCATGGTGTGATTTTCATACTAACACATGCCCAAACATTTTACATTTCAATACATACGTTACAATTCGGCTCAGAGATCCAGGTGGGATCTGTTTTGTTTCGTGTCTTGTCGTACAATTCAGAGCTGTTGTGTCCTGTTTTCATTGAACTCATGTTTCTGCTTGAGAACTGATGAGTGATGTATTTTTAGTGAAGATGATCAAAATGCTGTTTCAGATATGGAAGTGAGAAGTAGAAACTTTACAGAAGAGAGAAGTGAGCTCAAGAAGACACTGAATGACTTAGGTTGGTACAAAAAGAAAACTATGAGTAAAATTACTTGAATGATAATAAACCAAGAAGTGTAAGTGTCATCTTAAATTATCTAAATAGATTTTATAAGGTGCAGACAAAAAAAAATATTTGTCCACTTTAACTTTGTCTTTAAAATCATAGTTTCAAAGCAGAATTCCTTGACTGAAGAGAGAGACAATTTGACGAGGAAAAACTCTGGTAAGCATCACGATTGAACTCTTTCCAAAGTCCAGACTAAAGTAAAGATAGAAAAAGGAAAAATATATAACTATGTATTTTTTTCTAATGAACATTTCTCATTGCTTCTTTCAGATACTGAGGCCAGATTAACAGCAATCTCGCTGGAAAGAGATGAGCAGAGGAAGAGCCTCAACATTACAGGTGGAAATGCATGGCAGAAAATATGTGTATACATATTCACTAATTCTAAAATAATCATAGCTTTGTTAGAAAGTTATGCCACATCTGTAACATGTAGGCATCAAAATATTGGGATTTTAACGTTTATTCTTTTCCAAATCAGTCAGATTGTCTGGGGGAGGAAATGACCTCACAGACTTTAATATTTCCATTTTGGGGTTAGAAATAAATTACATCTGTGTTGTAAGGTATTTTATTATTATCAAATTGTCTGTCTGTATTTATTTACTCTTTATTTTTTTGCTATCAGCAAAAATGTGTTTTTATTTTTTAAGGTTAAGTAGAAAGCACTGCACTGATGTCATCAGCTTGTACTGCAGCAGAATCAAAATGTCGGCATTAACTCAACATTTGAACATTGAATAAAGACCTCTTCTTTTTGATAGATTCCCAGCTTCGCTCAGTGACTGAAGAGAGAGACAGGTTGAAGGGGAAAATTGGTGAGCAGTACTTTGCAAACAAATATAATATATATAAATTAATACAAATACAAAATATGGAGGATGTGGAGATTTTATTCCCTGGCTGCACATCCTTCCTATTGTTCTACATATGGAGGACCAAAACCGACATAATAAGAAATAAAATAATAAATATATAAATAAAAGAATAAATGTATAAATAAAAGAATAAATATATAAATAAAGAAATAAATAAAAACATAAATATATATTTTGATAAGAAATAAAAGCATAAATATATATTTAGTTTTTCCTTTTCCTTACTCAAGTTTCCGTCAAGTAATGTATATATTTTCTTTTTCATTTCCCTTAATCATGCGTTTTTGTCAAGAAAAATAGATATTTTGCTTTGTCTTTTTTTGGTTCTCCCTTTTCTGCTTGCTGTATTTCCGCTCGCTGTATTTCTGCTTGGTCTTTTTCCGTTTGCTGTATTTCTGCTCCATCAATATGTTAATGAGGAGAGCTGTCCAGCTCCTCTACTATTGGCCAATAGAGCTTTGGAACCAACGTCACTGCGTGAGACGTTGTTGGGCGTTCAGCTTGCTTGGTGCCATTTTTACAGGCCACAGGCTGAAACAAACTTTATCCCGGTGGTTTTAATGTGTTGTTACCAACTGCAGTGACGTTAGTTGTGAGTTGGATATTCCAATGTCCGCCAAGAAAGCAGCGTTTAGCTCAAGGTTGATCCGATTTATGAACACTAATTTCGGCCAGCTGTTCTCTAGCTCCCTCATCAGCGCTCGGAGGTTCACTTAGGGCTGTCAACAAATTTCCGAACTGAACACTCCTGTCAAACAAACCAACTGATACAAAAAAGTGGTAATTCATGCATTTACATGAAACAGACTACGAAAGTACATGTATATATGTATGAATATTTTGATAAGCGGGTCAGGAAAGGACGCGCTGGTTTTAGCCACTGGGCGGCATTCAGTTTCTCACTTACTGCCAAGATCAACTCAAAACCTTCCACGATCCACCGGTCGATCGCAACTGGTTACACACTGATTTCTAGTCAATGTGGCACACAATATGAAAACTATTGAAGAAAACATTAGATTATTTAACATTAAAATGATTTAAAATATTGAATATGACTTGACAGGAGTGTTCAGCTCGGAAATTTGTCGGAAAAGGAAAAACTAAATATATATTTATGCTTTTATTTGTTCCTTTATATATTTATTCTTTTATTTTTGCATTTATTATTTTGTTTCTTATTATGTCAGTTTTGGTCCTCCAAAAATATATTTATGCTTTTATTTCTTATCAAAATATATATTTATTCTTTTATTTATACATTTATTATTTTATTTATATATTTATTTATTTTATTTCTTATTATGTCGGTTTTGGTCCTCCATATATTCTCTATGCTTGACTGATAAACAAGCCTCTTGTCGCTAGGTGGCAGCAGTGTTCAAGTTAAGCAACAGGGTACCGGTTCAAGCCATTAGAAGAAGTAGCCGACAGAGACACTTTTAGTAACCGAGATGAGAGAGAACGATATGGCGCGGATGTTTTGAAACGTATCTACAGAGAATGAGATGTTTGTGACAATGAAAAGAAAAAATGCAGCAAAGGTTAGGAACGGAAGTAGTTTTAAGGCCAGACTAAGAATTTTTTTAAGTTCAAGAATTAAGTCACAATATTAGAGAAATGAAGTCATATTATGAGAACAATAATTTTATGCAATCCTGATCTTCTGATCACCAGTCGTTGCCCTTTCGCATCACCGGATCTCCTCCAGCCTTCATCGCCAGCATGCGAACCGAATACCCCATCAGTGTTGATTAAATGTTATTGATTGAGTTAATAAAATGATCTTGGAAATTGTTTTGAGCCTCAAATATGAAAATGAGCTGCAATATTTTTTAAAATCTTTTTTGGTAATCAGGTCAGAGAATGCTGGTGCCAGCGGTTTTTGCAGATAAATGATTAAATATCATATTCTCAATAATATTTAAATTCAAGGGTGAGGAGGGGGGCATGAAAACAAAATATGATCCTTAGCCATAAGGATCATATTTTGAGGATTATTTTCTGTAAATAATCCTCTTGCTAAAACCAAGAGGATTATTTACAGAAAAGATTTGATGAGCTTAATTAAAACCAATGACATGAGTTTTCCAACTCAGAGCAAGGAAACATCTGAACCTGGCCTTAGGTAAGTTATCAAAGTCATGTAAATGACATTAATCAGATAAAAACATCACCAACTACAAGAAATAAAAGTCGAACAAATTTTTCAAACATTTAAATGAAGCTGGTAGTTCAGAGCTTTGGATATTTTGTAAACTCATAAACTTGCTAATCCCAATCTGAACTTTCATATTTCCATAGTTACACTTACTTGAGCAACTTTTTGAAAACAAAGTAATGTGAGTTTTACTCCGCTGTACATTCTACTTTTAGTTTAGTAACACTGAATAAAACCTCACTGTCTACGCAACTGTAGTTACTCCAGTGAATGAAGAACAATGTGTCTGTGTCATTGCATCATTTTGGTATGTAGCCATATAGTCAGTATATATAGTCAGTCAGTACATGAATGTTTGACTTTTTTTTTTTCTATTTGGTGTTTTTTTTTTTTGCCACAAGTTGAAATCTTTAATAGCAAGTTAAATTTCTAATTTTTCCCAAAAAAGTTCAACTAGGATGGAGGATTTTCAGAGGCAGTGCGTACTACATTTCTTCTACAGAAAAGACTTGGCAGGAAAGCAGAACCTACTGTCAGTCTGTAGGTGCGGACCTGATGATTATCAACAGCAAAGAAGAACAGGTGTGTGGGCAAATGTTCAGCATCAGATTCAACTTCTTGTTGTCTCACGTTAGTTTCGATTTTTGTTTCTTAGGACTTTGCGAACAGTTTCCAGACGTACATGTGGATCGGCCTAACTGACTCAGAGACGGAGGGAAGATGGAAATGGGTGGATGGGAGTCCACTGACCACAAGGTTAATTTATTTGCACTTTAAACATTTTTTTTAACCTCTGCTTTTTTTTTATCAAAATGTGAAAAATTTTGTCACAACATTCACACAAAAATTTTAATCTTGATCCTTTCTGATTTTTTTTAGCTACTGGAGAGATGGTGAGCCGAATGGCAAGACAGTAGAAAACTGTGGTGATATAAAGACTTTCACTGCAGAGAGAAGCTGGAATGATGAAAACTGTTCTCACTCACTTAAATGGATTTGTGAAATGAAGCTTTCCTAATAGTAGTGCTTGCTGTCGCTCTTATTGTGACAAAAGGTTAGCTTTCGGTTACGCGGCTGCAGCATGTTTTAGATTCCCTCATTGTGTTAAACTAATTCTCATTACATTATGTTTTTTTAATCAATGTCCTTCTTTTCAAAGTGCTGATATTTATTTCTTCCTGCTCAGGTCAGTTTTATACTAAAAACAGATTTGGTCAGAAAGGTTTTAACAATATTAAAATAAGCCAAAAAATACGGAAAAAAATACAGGACAATTCAGTAATTACGAGTATGTTTCCCCAAAAGAATAAAAAGTGTAAGAAGTGTGAAGAATCATTCATTCTCTTTTTTTTTTTTTGCTCTGAACTCGACCAACAAAAGTTACAATAGCAGTTGTATCCCATCATTTGAAAAACTCTCACCAATTTATGTCAATTTACGTTTTGAAAGTTCAGTCAAAGGAGAAAGAAAACGTGTATTGAAAAGTGTTTTTAAGTTTTACCGTCATAACACTAAGTAGAAGGTTTCTCTGAACCAACTCAAGCTACAATCCTGATTTCAGAATTATAGCTTGAGCAGAACTAATGTAATTAGCTGCAACAAATGAGTAATGTTTTTAAGTTGGTTCGAAGAAACATTTTTTCCAGTGCAGGATGTCCTTGAGTTAAGCAATTAAAAGCTAAATAAAGTACAGTGCTTTTAAATATTTTATGGATATTACATTACATTTCCAGAGATTTGTGTGTTTATGAATGTATTCACTGATCTTATTCTACTGTACCTTATGAACATCGGTTTGCTTGTCAGTTTTTGTTTGTGTAGCACATTTCAGCAACAATTAAGAAACAAGCAGTAAACATTACATTTTGACATAAGTCACCCTTAAAACGACCAGGCAAATACATCAAATATGTTGATCAAGTTTAACTTACTATTAATCAAATAGGTGGGGCTTTAGTCTTGATTTAAAGGACCTCAGTGTTTCAGCTGTTTTTCAGTTTTCTGGAACTCTGTTCCAGATATGTGTTGCACAAAAGCTGAATGCTTCTTCTCCATCTTTGGTTCTGGTTCTGGGGATGCAGAGCAGAACCAGAGACTTGAGTGGTTAGGATGGCAGATGAAGACAAGACTGACTCAAATAAAACACCAGATTCTCCAAACAAATCAGCAGGAACGGCTGATCAGGGCGTCTCGTTGACATCTGGACCTGCTCTGACTGGCATGACCCTTAGTCACCAGCCTCAAACGCCTCTCTCCTCCGGAAGTCCATAACAAGTCAGTCACTACAAACCAAGCAGTAACCTAAAGGACAGCTGGCCTACAGGATAATAATATTTAATCCATCTTACCTGTATTTATCAAATGGAAGACTGGTGTGTGTTTGTTTTTGTATTTTTTCTACTGGATAAGATAAAAAAAATCCTCTAGTTTATGATCCATCAAAACAATAATAGAGCATTCAGTCATTAAAATTGCCATTGTGATTACATTATGCCATGAGGATCTAAAATGGCTTTAGAGCATGTCGGTAGGTTTTATTTAAAACAGTTTTTTCTTTTTTTACATATTTGTTAAAACTTGATATGCCATGGCAGTGTAACATGAGACAGATGATGCGTGGGGGGGAAAAATCAAGCTCCTTTACCACCTTCTATAAATCAGAACAATAAACTGCTCCGTCATAAACAACCAATCAGAGCCAGGAGGAGGGGCTTAGCGCTGTCAATCACTCTCTTGCTCACAACATCCTCGTTTCTCTCTCCTACGCTACATCTCCTTCCCGACAGCTAGCTGTCCATGAACACTAAGGCTAGATAGCATGGCTTCTGACAGTGGATAAAGAACGGCAAATTGTTTCTCTGCCGTTAGCACATTTAGCAACAAGTGTTCAAGTTTGATTGACAGGCTAAGACCCTCCTCCTGGCTCTGATTGGTTGGTTTTGACTGGAAGCAGTACATTTCGGCAGTAGTAGCTCCGGGAGGAGGTGGAGGAACTCAGTTTTTTCACAGGTTACCTATTAAATATTACACTGTCAGGACAAGGTGACAGTTTTTAACAAATATGCAAAAAAATATACACTTTGTAAACATTGCACACTGTAGCTTTAAGTCAAAACTTAGAGCAGCTCATCAATTCAACTGTGCAGTAATTAAAGCTTGTCCAATACATATTGATTCCACATTTCACATATGTCAACAATTCTGATAAGCTAGTCACCATCAGCTCTGAGTCTGTAAAGATGACAAGGTTACTCTGCTGCAAGCTGGGTTTATTACCAAACAACCTGCTTCCCCATTTAGAGTAAATTCTTTGGTATTTGTTTTCTGTATTAAAAAGAAACCTCATAATTAACAGTAACTGTGCAACTCCAGTGAATGTATTTCAACAGTTTCGAATGACTCAACCAGTTTGCAGTTAAAAGAGGAAGAGCGAGTGATTCTGCTGCGTCTTGCAAAGCCGACTCGTCTGAGTTTTTGATTAGTCGTGTCTGCGGTTCTTACGTTTTATCTAAGTACATCCCATCAGACAATATGACATTGGCTAAATGATGTCAAAAACATGCCATGTGCTGATCTAGTGTAACTCAGGAATTGGTATGAAGTCAATTCTTTTCAACGACAAAATAAAGAGACTGAACAAAAACGGCATCAGTGGGAGCGTTCCACTGACGGAAAACAAGAACAGAAAACATTAACTCACATTTGGCAGAAAAGAATGAATTCTGTTCTCCTCTTGAACGTCCTGAAGGAGAACATCATCATCATCAAGCACACCTGAGTTATGACTCAAAACACGCAACTAAATCAAACTCTGGATGGAAAGAAATTCAAGGTACCGTAGTGGTCTAATCAAAGTCTGGATATAAATCCAATTGAGAAGCTTTGAGCTGACCAAAAACCCTGCAATGTTGCCACATTAAAGCAACTCTGCAAAACGGGGGCGGATGAAATTCCTTGACAAGAATACAGAAGTTTTATTGCAGGGTAACTCAAATGCTCAACTGAGGATATTGAAACCAAGGCTGGCATGAGCAGTTATTAGGTTTAGAGCCAAATATACAATTAAACTGGGGTAAAGTTGGGTCGTGGGTCTTTAAATTAAACAAAAACTGCAGTCTGAGAGACCAATACAGTCTGTCTTAGCTTAAAATGACTTACTACTACGCCTATGTGTGGTTTTCAGTTGACACACAGACCATACACATATTGCAAATCCAGCAAAAATTTGCAAGATCCTGATTTTTTTTTTTTTTGCAAAGCTGTGATGGTGGGAGAGTGGCACTTCCAAAGAATGAGGAAGAAATTTTCACACAAAGATTGTTTCAGGATCTCTGCTTGTCGTAGACGCATTCAGGACCGAACAGGGGTCTTTGGCAGAGACTTATAGATTGAGGCCTTGCTATTTGACAAAAACAGAGATGGTTTTCCACAAAGAGCAGTATGGATGTTCTGTGGCATACGAGAAATTCAGCGATACTCTTTATGCCAGCAACGACGGACCGGAGAGTTGCTCAGATAATCACAGCAAAGCCTCTTCGGGTAAGAGAGAACAAAATGTTTGCTCAAAGATAATTTGCGAGGTCGGTTTAAAACATGACGGCATATTTACGGCTGCTCTTACTTTAAATTGAACAATAATGTGAAACTAAAGAAGCATATCTTTAAAACATATATTTTGTCTGTTTTTAAATAGATTGAAAAAATATAAAAGTCTGGCTGACCCAGTGAAAATATCTGTCAGTTTTCACTTGTTGTGCACAAAACCTGCGTCACAAATAAACCTAATTGTAAAAAATCTTAAGTCTGATCTTTTGAGTGGTAATTTTCAAAAGCCTCGAGTTCATCTATTAAAACTTTTGCAATTTTATCCTAAATGAATACCTGTTTTGCTTTTTGTTCTTTGTTTTTGTGCTGAGACTTGTTGGTGAAATCCTTCGTAGTCGACGAATTTGCAATGTTTACCTCTGATGTTTACTTCTTGGCGATTTAAACCATCCACAGGTGTTTTCACAGAATTTCAGCGGTACAAGTTGGCTGCAGCCACTTTTGGACTTTTGTGTCTGCTGCAGCTAAGTCTCATCATTTCTCTTTCTCTTTGTAAGTAAACCTTGATGATTTACATCCTGATTTTGAAATTCTGTTTTAGGATGTCGTGTGCTGGCAAATTGCAGAAGTGTTTTGTTTTTTTGCCTCGTTCAAAACACAGTTGATGTCAATACAAAACATTTGTTTGTATTTCATTCATTAAAGAACATTTATTGAATCCTGAAGAACATCTACGATGTATTTCAGCCTGAGCCATGAAGTCTCATCTCTATGCCACGTTTGTCTCACTTAGTTCTGTCACATGGAAGTGGCTCTTGTGACATTTACATTTGCGAAACAGGCTATTACAACAAGAGTTACACAATAGTCTTAATATGTAAAAGGTTTTTCACTCTGTAGTGTTTAGTGGCTTTTGAAATCTCCCAAAGTTTTCTGCAAAGATTCATTTTCAGACATTAAATGATATCAAATGCATGCATTCTGGTGGTGTGGAAAACATAATACTACTTTTCTTTGCCGAGCAGCAGCTTCCAGAAATATGAGTCTGCTGGAGAAGGAGAAAAATGAACTGAAGACACTCAACTCTGGTGAGCATGATGAACGAATGATGCTGACAGTGAACGTCTGAATGCAGGGGTCCAGGCAATATGAAGTAGAGACGTACCATGTCAGATTTTTGGTCAATATCCGATAAAACTCGTTTGGCCGATAATCGATACCGATATTTCCTATACTGTGAGATTAAAATACTGCAATATCTTTATCAATTCAGCCTGCTACCAAATGCTGGAAAGGAGGCTGAAATGATGAAAAATGATGAAACACTTTCAACTTGCATTATGTCTGATGTCAAACTTATTCTTGGCATTTATTCATCTGCTCTCTCTAAGATGATGACGACACTCAAAATGGGCAAATTTGTAAATCTTCACTAAACTAAACTCAACCTGTTCACAAACAACAAGTGAAAAGCACGTCAGTTTCTTATGATGTGCTGCAGGCATCATTGTCACATCAAAACAACGCCTTTTATATTTTTGAATTATTTAGACTAAATGGCCGATGTTTGATATTAATTATCGGCTAATACTGATACAATGCCGATAATATTGTGCATCCCTTATATGAAGTTTTCTCTGAGTTGCCTGTTTGCTGCTTTTAAAGTGAATTTATGTTTTTGGGTGGACCACAGTAAATCTTTGTCCAGAGGTTTTAGTTTGTTTGAGTTTGTCAATCACATAGAGAATATTGACAAATATTCTTTACAAAAGGAAAAAAAATGTCTGGTTGGTATGAAAAACAAAAAATATACAGTTATTGGTATAATTGGAGCTGTTGTTCTTTTTGTCGTAGGCCTCGATGCCAGTAATAAAAAACTGACAGCAGAAAAAGAGCAGCTGAAGAGGAACCTAGATGACGTTGGTAAGCATGATTATGAAACTACACAAAGCATAATATCCCAACTACATTAAACATTAATAATAAATTACATTATTACAGTATATTTAGATATACATATAAAGAGAAAACAGGGCCATATTTAATTATACAGCTAAAGTTGTCCTAACAAAGGGGTCAATTACAGAAATCCAACTGACGTAAAAATACCAAAATGTCTCGTATCTAGAGCGAACACGAACGTTGAAGAAGTTAACTCACTTAATTAACTCATTCTGGCTGCATAAAAATAACAAATCTTGATGTAGAAAACATAAAATATAAAAAGAAAATGTTGACTTTTTGTAATAGTCTTGGAGTAAAGCTTGTGAAAGTTCCATATCTGAAGTTGTAGACTTTCTCAAAGGTGAAAAAGTAAAGATTTCATTATGCGCTTCATAATGTTCTACATAAAATATGAGATGTTATTCACAACAGTTAGAGAAAAATAAAACAATTTACCAAAAACGTGTCATTGCTTTTATAGATTCACAACGTATTTCTCTGACTAAGGAGAGAGACGGACTAAAGAAGACCAACCTTGGTAAGTATGATTACTGGGCAAAACTGTGTGATAGCAAACAATGTATTATATTTAATATTGAAGTCCGGTAGATTGTTGAAAATTGTCATTTAGGTTTCCAGTCCAATCTGAGAGATCTGACTGCAGAGACGGAAAGGCTGGGCAGAACCATCAGCGGTAAGCTTGTCAGTGCTGATCAAATACATATTAAACCTACACAAAGAGGAAACATTTCAGAAAACGTTGTTCACTATTATGGCAGAAAACCAAGAGACTGGTTTGTGAATGCAAAATAAAATATCAATTGTCACTATTGTTATTACTGTGATAATGGAAAATTTGTTATTTTTCCAGAGACTCAGGCCAGTAACAAACATGTGACTGAACAGAGGGATGAGCTGAGGAAAGAACTTAAAAACATCAGTAAGTAATTAAAACACAGAAAACGTCCTGATCTTCAACAGGAGTATTATTTTATTCACATGCATTGCAGGTTTTAACAAGAGTAAACACACTGTACAGCTCAAGAAATAATGTTTTATCTGAATGTGTAGGATTGTGAAACGTTTTTGCAATGATTTGTCGATGTGCTGCAATCACTGGCAGTGGTGTGACTAACTTTTCTCCTCACAGCTTTAGAGTTCAGCTTCCTGACTGAGGAGAGAGACGAGTTGAAGGATATTAATTTCCGTAAGTGTGCTGATGAAATACTGCATTGATTGTGTGCTGATTAAGACACATGGGATCCAGGCTGCGTCACAGTCTCTAGTCCCTTCATGGCAGTTTGAATGCGGCTGGATTGGGTAAATTCATTAGACCTTGTTTCATTTGGAAAACAGTCAGTAATATTTTTCAAAGATGAAACATGTTGGATGCTACACTTTAACTTTGTAGCAGAAAGTGATCAACAAAGCAATTCCCAAAATAATCAGTTTTCGTCGATGCTTACTGCTTTTTATTTATTAAAACCAGTTTGTTTCAAAACAGTTAACCTCAAACTCTAGCTTATCGTTAAATGTTTCTGTAAGTTTCATAGTGTGACATGATAAAATGAGGCTAAAATCGGTAAACTTGTTAAACTTCAATGCAGGTATCGAGACAGCTCTGAAAATCCTGATCGACATGGGAGAAAACCTGACCAGAACCATCAATGGTAAGTTGTTCCTTTTTTTTAATCACAAATAATAAAAACTGAAAATAAAAACATTTACTAGGAGTCACATTCGCAATCCTGTTTCTAGTTTATCAATACCAAATGTTCAAAATAATTACAACGGTTTTATTTTCAGACACTGAAGTCATCAATAAAAATTTGACTGCAGAGAGAGACAAGCTGACGAAAGATCTCAACAACCTTGGTAGGTAATTATAAGAAAACAAAATGAGAAGCAATCAAACAAGTGGTAACATGGTATTTTAACACCATCAGCCTTGCATATAAATGAAGAAACTCAACTGATGTGACGTCTTTGTACACATGTTGTGTGTGTTTGTGTGTCACGCAATGGCAGTAATGTGATGCAATTGTTTCTATCAAATAACAGCTTCACATCTTAGTTCCCTGACTAATGAGAGAAACGAGTTGAAGAAGTTAAACTCTGGTAAGTTCCTCGACATATTGTTGACTGTAATTAAGAGTCATTTATCGTATCATGAAATATTTATTAAGCAAAGACACAATGACGTCTAAAAAGTCTGATAGGAACAGCAAGAAATATGAATTATCAGTCCATTCGATGACGCTTTTATATGCAGCGGAAAGAGGAACAATGTTTCACTGTTTGAGCTAAAACATTAATTCATTAATCCTCAATTTATGACAAACTATATGATATCAGGTGGGATTCTGTTTTCTTTTAGTTTTTCTGCATTTATTGATTTTTTTCCAAATTAAGAGTTCAAGATGAAAAAAAAAATTCACAAGAAATGATTTCATGTTTTTATGTTTATTAAACCATGTTGATGAAGCATTTAGCTTGAAGGCAGTGTGGTGTAGCGAATTGTTTTTGATATTGTGGATGCGTCTCTGCAGGCTTGGAAGCCAGTCTGAAAAATCTGACTGAAGAGAGTCAGAAACTGATCCAAACCATTCAAAGTAAGTATGATATTCATCACACTCACTATGATTCAGAGAGGAAAACACAAGTTTCTATTACCAGTCAGAGAACAACTTGCTGTAATAAAGCACTAGTTTGTGCGATGAATAATTTCTTCCACGTATCAAGCTCCAGTTCTCTATATTCTCTGTCAGATATTCAGTCCGATCACAAAAACGTGACAGGAGAGAGAGACGACCTGATGAGGGAGCTGAATGTGTTTAGTAAGTATTGGAGGACTTTTTAATTAGTGTCTATTTTCAGTCAAGAAATAAAACTGTAAAATCACAAAAACTGATCTAACGTCATTTCAGAAATGTCATTTCTTTTTTTTTAATTATCTTTCCTCTTGAAATTACAGCTTCACAGCTTGCCTCCATGACTAAGGAGAGAAATGATCTAAAGAAGATTAACTCTGGTAAGTGTAATCAATAAAATATAAGTTTTTATGTGTAATTATATTACTTTCCTTCTCCATCAAGAAAATATATGCATGCTCCTTCTTTTGCTCCTGAAGGATTTTCTTCTTGTAGCAAAATTTCCTTATAACTAAAATTATGTTGTTCTAGTGACACCTGCCTGCTTTTGTTAAGACGACCATAACTGTGTTTCAGATATTGAAGCCCATAGTAACACGTTGAGAGAAGACAAGGATGAACTCAACAGGACGTTGAATGATTTGGGTTGGTATAAAAATAAAGTTCCAACTATCAGAAGTCTTTTTGATGGTCAGAAAGCAAGTAATGTAAAGCGTGTTGTTCACTTATATTCATCACTGGTACAAACCACAAAATCTTTTCAATATTTTTATGTAGTTTCTAATGCAAATATCTCAGTACACTTGAAGGAAGACTAACTTCCAAACAACTTTTCACAAAGATTTTGGAACTGGTTTTAAGTTCATATCTTCTTAATAATGATAAACAAAAACACTAATTCCACTGGCAGATTTTTATATTTATGGCCTGGAAAAATGTCTTGAATCAACAAGAAGAGATTCAGGTTCTGTCCTTCTAACCTTAGGACATTTGTCCAAAAGTGAGTCGCCCGTATCTTTCAGGTTTTTTTACCCTGTGTGACTAAAACATGATAAACTCAATCTGGTCCGCCCAGCTCTTGTTTTCCAAATGTGTTAAGTTCAACTCAGCCTGAGAAACGAAAAGTTCAAACACATCAAGAAAAAAAAAAAAAAACCTGAAAATGCACCAGATCGTCACTGTGGGTGACGTATAAAGTCAAAGGTCTTTTAAAATGCATCTGCATTTGAAATGTCCATGAAAACAATGGTAATAACTCACTTTAACACCTGATAACCTTTTCTTGTAAACTACAGCCTCCAAACACAATTCCCTGACTGCAGAAAGAGACCTTTTGAGGCAAACAAAGTCGCGTGAGTATCAGAACCAATCTCTTCATTTTAGGTGATTATTATATATATTGTAATGTAATGAATACATTGTGTTTCAGTTATTGAGGCCACGTCCAGAACAATCAGTCAGGAAAGAGATGAGCTGAAGGCAAAGATCAACACTATAAGTGGGTATAAAGCTGATTTCATCACAGCATGTACAATTTGCACAGGAATTAAGAAACACAAATATAACGAGTTACAGATCCTGTTTCAACAATAATCTGCTTGCATACTTGCACTGAAACTTTACATATAGCTTCTTTGTCAAGTCGTCAATTTTTAGCTTTTTTAGAGCCAAAAAGCGAACTCTGATCCGCCTACAAACCTAGGTCTCGTTTCGGGTGAAGTGAACTGTGGCGCGGTTTGGATGCATATGTTGATGCCAAGTGTACCGCTCCAAAAGCAGGAAGCAAACTATAGCGCAGGGCATTCTGGGTAAATGAGACCAAAAGAGAAGCAAGCGCATGTCTAGCGCTAGCGGGAGAAATGGCTTGTGGTGTTTTAACCTGACACTACTCCATTTTAGTTTACATTTTTTGAAGAAGGAAGCTGGGGTCACGTCATCTTCTGAGATTTTTTTGCGTTGTTTCCTTCAGTGGCTCTTGGTGCAGCGCCACCACAGGCGAGGAGGGGAACAGGTTTTTCAATTGCTTTGCTTAGATTGACACGGTGCAGTGTGAAAGAGAACCGCAGCAGCTGAAAATGTGACAAATGTTGCAATTTTGACCCCCAATCCAACCGCATCTACCGGACTGATAAGGTGTGAAAACAGATTATACCTTGACATATTTAATCTTTTGGATTACGAAGAATTGAGACGTTTAATTTGATGTTTGTAATGAATTAATCATTGTGTATGAAAATCGTGTGAAACTCGGAGCTCCCCAGTGCAATGCTCACACCACCACAAATGTTTTGCAAAGCTGATATTGCAGTGTTGTGGTA